AGAGCAGCCTGGCTGTGATCGGCGGCTCAGATGCACCCCCGGAATGTTTCTCTTTCTAATTCCTCGGAGCCGCCCGGCGCTAGCTAGCGCGCTCGATGCCAGTCATCGCTGGAGGAAGCGAGCTGGGGAGCAGGTTTGACTTTGAGTGATTCCGGAACAAAATGTGTTAGAAACACCCTGGAAACATCTTTGCAGTGATTCAGACCCAGCGCGGGAAGCGACACTCTGCCCCAGCGGGAGCTTGAGAGGGAAGTTGTTAGCGCTGTACACGGGCTGCTTATCCTGGATCCCGCGCTCCCAAGAATCCATCCCCAGTTCATTCCCCTTGTTAATAATCAGATCTGAGCCACCCCACCAGGCGCCATGTGCTGGGAGGCACGTTTTCAGGACAGAGCCTGGAGAAGTGACCCGGGGCAGGCCAGGGGCCAGGCCACGCGGCTGGCCCGTGTCTGCAACGCGCTGCACAGCGCCTGTGAGGACCGAGAGCTGCTCTTCCCGGCCGTGAGGACCAGAGACTCCGCAGTGACCCCGCGCCCTGCTGCGAAATAAGGCAAAATCAGCTCCTCCGGGGTTAAAATCGCGGGCTGGGGTGAACCCAGGCGTGCTCTGACCCAGCCTGGGGGCTGCTCAGCCCAACCCCACACCAAGGACGAGGCTTCTCCAGGCACTATTCTGGGCTTACAGACCTTCGGGGCAGGCAGGGAGATACTCGGTGGTGTTGGGGTTGTTTCTCCAGAGGAAATCTTGCTTCTCCCAACAGAAAGTCAGAGGGTGCCAAGTGCCGCGGGTGGCTCCGTGTGCCGCACCAGCAGCCCCGGGAGCGGGGCACGTCCCCGTCTCGCGTGCCAGGTGGGGAGATAGGCACGGTTGTGAGAACAGCAACAAATCCTTCTAGTCACAACATCCTCGGGAACGCTCGCAATTACGGGCTAAGGCTGTGGTGGGTGCTAAATATAGAACTCGGGTCCTCGCACACTTAAGAAAACAAACGATCTGATGAGCATCTTTCTGCTGAAATCTGAGCCCATTTATTAAGCTAAATGGACGTGAAATGCAAATGTGAGGTTACTTTTCAGCTATTTCCAAATAATAATTAAAGCCTTTTGGGACTCCTCGTTGGATGCGTTTGCCGTGTGACTCCCTACCCACTCCCGGGTGAGGGATGCTGGGGGGATCCCTGGTGCGCGGGGTGGAGGGTGAGCACCCAGCCTTATGGAATTGCCCTGCTTGGGCTGCAGAGCTGTGCCGGGCAGCCCCGGGGGCACAGCTGGGCCCAGGCCATGGCCGTGCTCCGTGCCGCAGTGCCCCGAGGTGCGGGTCAGCTCTGGGGGGCTGATGCGGGTGGAGTTGGGGCCCCCTGAGCAGCCACTCGTGGTACCCCTCCACCTTCCTCCTGCCTCCACCCTGGCCAAACCCCCAGGTTCAGCAGGGAAGCAGATGCGGGTCCACTTGTGCTGCAGAGCTTCGGAACGCCTCTCAAGGGAGCGGCTCCATCGGGCTGAACGAGCCGGTCCTGTCCCCAGTGCTCTGCGGGTGGGGCTGGGACGTGTCTGCTCACCCCGCACCCCGCCGGGGCCCCCGCTTTCACTCCCCGCAGCTCAGGGGTCTCTGCTTTCCCCCCTTCCAGGTGAAGAGCGTGAACCTGTCTGACGGGGAGGTGCTCTCCATCCGCGGCGTGGACGGCGATGCCCTCGTGGTCCTGGCCAACCAGACCCTGCTGGTGGAGGGCCAGGTGATCCGCAGCCCCACCAACACCATCTCCGTCTACTTCCGCACCTTCCAGGACGAGGTGGTGGGCACCTTCCAGCTCCACTACCAGGGTGGGTGCCCCCCCGATGCGGGTGCGCGAGGAGGGGTGGGATGGGATGTCAGGGGTGGAAGGATGCTGGGCTCTGCCCTGGCAGAGCGGCCGGGCTCCTGTTTCACGGTGTGTCCGTGCTCAAAGCATCGGCTGGGATGGGGATGAGCAGCAGCTTGTGTCATGCCCCGGGCAGCGGGTTCAACAGGCCCCGACACCCCCTTGCTCCCCACACCCGCCTTGCCCCGTTCCTGTCCCCACGCAGCAGCTCTTCCAGCACAGACTCAGCCTGCGAGTCTCTTTTTTCCTTGAAGAGCTATAAAAAATAGATGAGTTCAAGCAAATTATTTTTAAAATAGAAACTAGGTCTGGGCAAAAGCGGTAACAGGTGGAGAAGCAGCAGCGGGGTGGGTTGTCGGCGCTCTGTGACCGGCAGCGGGGTCTGTCTGTGGCGCCGTGGGCACAGCCAGCACGTCCACAGCGCTCCCCCCTCGGGTGCGGGGTGCCTCGGAGCAAACACGCCCTCAGCTCCAAAAATGTGTGTGCTCATTCCAGTGTTTATGCTGAGCTGCAACTTTCCACGGAGACCTGACTTCGGAGATGTCACCGTGATGGATTTGCACTCGGGTGGAATTGCTCATTTTCACTGTCACCTGGGCTACGAGCTGCAGGGTCCCAGGGTGCTGACCTGCATCAACGCGTCGAGGCCGCACTGGAGCAGCCCAGAGCCCATCTGCTCAGGTATGCTGCTCGTTGGTTCGCCTCAGCGCTGGGAGAAACTGGGATCCCCCAGATTAAAAAACTAGAATCCTCAGCGCTGGGAGAAACTGGGATCCCCCAAAGGCACTTTCTTTGCGCCGTGAGTCGAACGCGGTCCTGGGGACGAGCGGCAGGGATGCCCAGCTCCCTGCGCAGAGCAGCCCGGGTTTCCGATGGCCGCAGAATCCACCTCGTGATTAGTCGGGTGAGGGAAGGGAATCGTAGGTTTTATGGGTATGGACGAGTATTGATGTGGGAGCGTAAACCAAGGCACAGCCGAGCCAGGCGCGAGGTTCCTGGGTGAGGGACCGGCGAGAGAAGCTGGGCAGGCGGCAGCCCTCCGTGGGGCGCCGCGGGGGCTGTGCCCTTTGCCGTGCCCTTTGCCGTGCCGCTCGCCCGCCGGCTCAGCGGGGCTGTGCTCTGCCGGCAGCACCCTGCGGCGGGACCGTCCGCAACGCCACCATCGGCCGCGTCCTCTCGCCCAGCTACGCCGGGAACCACTCGGGCAGCATGTACTGCGTGTGGGCCATCGGGGCCCCCCCGGGCCAGAAGCTGCACCTACACTTCGAGAAGCTTCTGCTGACCGACAAGGACAGGTAAGGCTGCGGGTGCTGCCCAGCGTGGGGAGCGAGGAGCTTCGCCCAGCGCTAAACACGGGAAAGCTTGGAAGGTCCCAGCTGGGCTCCGCTGCTTCCCCCCCGCCCCCGGAGGCAGGGCTCAACTGATCTTTGGCATCAGTAGCCCAGAATTTATCATCTCAAGATTTAGACCCGACTGTTTAACAATAAGCTGTAAACCCTGAACTCCAGAGGAAAAAACTGCGAATCTCGGGAGCCCAGATGGCTGCTGGGGCTTTACAACTTAGAGCCGAGCTCAGATTTTAAAACCTAAGCCCCACCTGATACTCACGCCCCCCTTTACTTGCCCCAGTTGACACAGAAATTACTCACCCCCTCCTTTACTCACCCTCCTTTAGTTTTTCTTCCAGTTGCCCCAAGTGTTCCTAACTCTGATAATTTTTCTGGGTTTTCCCCAAATTTGTGTGGTTTGTTCCCTAATTTCCTTTCCATATTCACCCGATTTTCCCCAACTCGTCTTATTTTCCCCCATTTATTCCCCCCAAAATACTCACCTGAAATACTCTCCCCAAAATACTGTGCCTGAAATACACGTCCCAACAGCCCCCGCCCGGAAACCCCCCCCGAATTAGTGTGTGTGTCCCCCCCCAAAAAAAAAGTGTTGCTGACACAGTCCCTCCAAATAC